ATCTTCATACAACGGGTCTTTAAATGTGGACAGAGTTAAAAATGTTTTTTCCACCAACATAAACTTAACTTTTGATTCCATTTTCCAGGAATATTAAGAATTTCTGTGTTATGATGCTTATTTTAGGAAATAACACAAAACATATACCTCACTGTATATCTACATGCATGGACAGGGGCAGAAACAAACTCTAGATGGATATGTAGCATATGTGTGCTGATTCCTGGGCCAGCAGATACGGACTTAGGCGGGGGATGTGAAATCCTAAACTAACTTTTTACCTATATAATCCCACCTGCCCACCTGTCAGGCAAATGACAGCCTTTTCCAGGGAGTACCTCCTCTTTCCTAGGACCTGAGTGGAGGCTGTGTCACGTGGACTCTCCCTCAAGAACCCACTCCTAGAAGGGGCTCCTGGTTGCTTTCTCTCTTGTCACCCTATGGAAGGATTCAAAGAAAAGTACAAAGTCCTCACTCCCTCTGTCTTGCCCTTCCTGGTTCACTCTCCCTGAATGTAGCCATGTAGGTCTGCATTACTGACTTCTGAATAAACCTTACTGTTTTTAAGCCATCTTGGTCCCCGTGCTTCAGTAAGAGACAAGAATCTAGAAAATAAACATTAGGCCCAAACCTAGAATACAACAGAGAATGCTGCTGGCTTCTCTCCCCCTCCTTGTTAAATAGTCTCTGAATTTTTTACAATGAGTATAAATTCATTTTATAATTGAAAAGATACAAATGTTTCAAGCAGCAGCAAAAAGGGATAAAAACAACAATTTTCTGACAAAGAATTAGGAGTGTTTTACCTTCAAGATAGGCAGGGATTAACAATTTCCTCCAGGGTTTCTTAAAATAGCTGGTTTTTGTTTACTAAGCATTTAAAACACACACCACTGAAATTTATGAAAAGATGAGAACACTCTTAATGCCAAGAACACAAAATCATGAGTCAAGATGAAAAGATGTAAGCGGGTCCGCATAAAGAAAAGGAATGATGCCAGGGTGTGTTCCCAAGTCCTGTGTCCTGTGCTGCTGGAGTCCCTGCAGTGCCTGGCACAACGGTCACAGGGAGCCCCAACGATACACTATAAGCCCCATAATTTTAAGAATATGCCTGGCTGCGGACAGCTGTAAAAGATATACTTACTGAACTATTTCAGAAGTGTGCATATGTATGATTTATTTGGAGTTAGTGTGCACGCTACACATCAACACCTTCCTCCCCTTTCCCTCTCCCTATTTTACTACTGTCACCTTGAGACTGATTCAAGACAAGAGAATCACAGCGGTGGTGGCTCAAAGGAATAGAATTTGGTTGGGGCGCAGGATTGCCACCTCCTAGATGAGTTTACTTACTTATTTCCTTTTGTTATAATGCCAAATGTTATTTAGATTGCGGGCATTGAGTAATGCTACACTAAACACGTCAGGGCTTCTGAAAAACTCCATACCTAACCATCCTTTCATTTTTCTTAATAACCCTACATTGACATCCCTTTTGCCAACCAAATTACATCACTATTTCAAAAAGGATCGGTGGTATATCAGAGTTTAAAACATTCTTCAAAAATGTTCCTTCATGTTATTAAGAATTGGAAAATCCTGTTAAAATTCTTTCAGGTTTTAAGAAACATAAGCAGCTTTGGGATGTAGTGCCTGACACAAACTTTTTAAGTAATTCCCTTGAAGCAATCATTTGCATTAGCGAAGCTATTTCATTCGACGTAGCACCCTACGCTGCTTTTCAGTATTTGAGCAGTCAATCTAATTGCTTCCTTAAGCCAAAGATTGAAAATGAGTAACACTACAGTCTTTTAAGGCTTAGCTAGCTTAACTTCCTCTAACGGAGAGAGCCACACTCACCATCAAAGAAGCGAGTGCTTTCTTAGGCAAGTGTGGCTACTGGGCCTGGTTGTTAAAGGATGCAGAATGCAGAGCTTTAACTTCAGCCCTTAGAATGGCTAAAGAAAGGCTGGGCAAATAGGTTAAGGGAGCCAAGGAGATTGTTTTAGCATGTTTTAATCACATTTCAGTGATAAGAGCAAACATGAAGGACAGATAATCCTCCCACTATCCAGAATACAGACATTAAGAGTGAGCTTTGAGAGTGTACCTAGAATGATAGTATGCTTGCTAGCACTTTGGTAGTAGGTCTTGGATTTGTCATAGGTCTTAAAGTATTTTTTTTGGGGGGGGGTGCTTTTGACTGTAGCTTAGAATACCCTAGCAGAACTAGTTTACAGATATTCTCATGGGGTGACAAGTTGCCTTCAATGTAAGTTGTGGAAGAAGTTACAGTAGCTTCCATCAGAACCCACTGCAACTGAAGGCTATAATCACAGAGGTATAGCATTAGAGCACTTTAATAGCTCACAGAAAATGCAATTGAACAATATGTTCAATTTGCTGCCAAAATTTTGAAATGCATGCAAATGAGCAGTCTACTAAAACTTGACAAAATGCGAAATTCCTCTTAGGAAAGCTTGCATGGATTTCAAGGTATCTTGTAACTTTATTTTCCATGAACTCCTGGAATCATCCCTGCAAGCTATACCAAGACAGCCTCTCTGCTTTGGACTCAGCAGAAAACGTGCAGAAGGATGTAATCAGTTTTCAGGAACAGACGAGAAGGTCATCAACAAACACGCATGGTCAGATGAGGATGAACAGGCCAGAACAATTGGTTGTAGAATCAACATCAGTTGATGTGAACAGAGGGAAAGCAGGAGGAAGGGTAAACATAATGTACTGAATTCCACATATTTGAGAGGAAAACATAGGGAAGAAAGAATAAATCTAAAATGTGGCCCTTCAGGGCAGGCTTTGGATGAGGGGTAGAAGCCACTGCAAAACAGATGTTACTCCTCGTTGGGAATGACTTCCTGTCAGAGTTCCTAAGCCTCCTGCTAGCAGATTCCAAAAAGTTGTTTTCTTTTTGGTTCTCTTGCATGGATTCCTATTTCGAAGTCTGGACTGAAGTCTCAAGACTTGTGATTCAAGGAAACTGAATGCACGTGCCCAAGACCTTCTCTCATGCTGCATGTTTCAGTCATGAAGAATCAAGATTTCCCTTATTTGGGGACCAGCGGCATGGCCTAGTGGCTAAAGTCCTTGTCTTGAACGCAACGAGATACCATAAGGGTGCCGGTTCTAATCCCAGCAGCTCCACTTCCCATCCAGCTCCCTGCTTGTGGCCTGGGAAAGCAGTCGAGGATGGCCCAAAGCCTTGGGACCCTGCACCTGCATGGGAGACCCAGAAGAAGTTCGTGGATCCTGGCTTTGGATCAGTGCAGCATCGGCCCTTGCGCTCACTGAGGGAGTGAATCATCGGATGGAAGATCTTCCTCTCTGTCTCTCTCCTCCTCTCTGTATATCTGCCTTTCCGATAAATAAATAAATCTTAAAAAAAAAAAAGATTCCCCAACTGCAGAATAAAAGAATAGAGGACTGCATGTATTGCTTCTCAAATACACCCTGATATCCACACTGCAATCACTGTCCACCCATCCAATCAGCTCCCTGACATGTGTTCAGAACAGCCAGGGAGCTGTGCTACAAGAATATATGACTTCCCTGCTCAAGAACATTACTGTCATTCTGAAAGGGTTAAGAACAATCCAAATTAAGTCTCTTTTTTTCAAATGTGGGACTCACTAGAGAAGGGTGCTCACCAGTGTCAAAGGATAAGGAATGTCCTAGAAGCTACCATTAACGTCACTGTGAAAACAAGGCTTGATTCTCGATGAAATTAAAGTAATTTCCCAAAGATGTAAATATGCCTCTTCCTGTGAACAAATGCATTGTGATTTTTCTAGGAAGGCCGAATTGCTTTCTTGGAAGTACAGAGAGTTATGTGAACATTAATCTTTACATTTATTTTTTTCATTTTTTTTTCTTCCTAATACAATGCCTTTGTGTTGTCAATCTCTTTCAAAACAACAGATCACGTAGAGTACAGGCATCTTTGAAGAGTGTAAAAATAATTTCCCAAGTAAGCAAATAAAACTTTGCACTTCAAATCGGGCCCTGATTCATTAAAAATCTTAAACTTCTCATGAGAAAAATTAACATTTAAACCACTGCTGCTTGGCCAAGCACTCCACCACACAAGAATATGAAATATCTCCTCTAAAAAAGTACAAAAAGGACAAAACCACAAATGTGGAACTTCAATTAATTTAAAGCCCCAATCAGCAAAGAATAAATCCTTCGCAGATCTAATTACCAGCGCTCTCGGAAGACCCAGGCCGACCAGCCAATCTTCCCCGTGTTTGAACAGCTTGATGAACTAGGGGACTGATGGATATCAAGTCATTTTGTTTAATTTATAAATGGATTTTCCCCTAATACTTAAATTATCATCAGTACAACACAATGAAAATGGGAACATTCTGAATGCAAAGTCTATAAGAGTCCTGGAAGGAATCCCAATGAGGAATGTCACCTCTGTTCATTCCTCTATACAATTGATCTAATTAAATACTGAGGGTGGAAAGGCAGTTTAAAATGTAGCCATTTCTGTTTTCTTTTTAGCCTTAATTTATCCGTTCACATCTTTCAAGTACCTTCTGATGCATTAAAAAAAAAAAAAACGAAGCCAAGATTTTGGCAAGTTCCTAATACTTTTCATTCTCCACATGCTACTATTTGCAATGCCTCTGCCACAGAGATTGCTGAATAATAAGTAAATGCATCACATTCGCCCATGGTAACAAGGAGACAGGGTGTCCATATTGAACACTTGCTTTCAGATTCCTGGAAGGAAAAAAAACAGAGGAACTAGAACCTTCTACACTCTTCCATTGAAATCAGATCTCTGGATTATACTTATTAAAATGTCTCCTTATTTTCAAATCTCTTCCTTATTTAATTACTGCATGGGAATGAAAGCTGCATGGAATTGTTAAATACCCTGAGCCGTATTGATAGTCTTTTCACACAGGTAACTTGAGTAATCTTATCCTGCCCACCAACACACACATTGGATTTGCAGTTCCCACCTGGTTCAGGGGTCTCTGACTGAGAGGAGGAAGATGCTGAGCTGGCTCCATCCTCCGTGGTGCCCTGTGAGAGGAGACCCCGTCCGGGTGGAAGTTTCATGCCCAGCTGCTCGGCCATCTCCACGTGGTCCCCGGGATGGACATAGTCAAAGACGCTGCTGCCTGTCAGCTCCACCTACAGAAGAAAGAGAACGAGAGGGAACGAGAGATGTCAGTGTACCCGGGTCACAGACACAAACCTGCATGCAAAGTCTTCTTCAACTACAAAGCTTGAAGTTCAAAGATTGTTCTCACATGCATCCTAGTATTTAGCAATAGTTCAGCCCAGTTTTCCCCTTATACGTTGCTGTTTGCGTGAAGCCAAAACATTCTGTGCACTGTGGACGAGTCTGCCTTGCATTCAGTATTTTATCAATGCACCATCGGATACTTGCATGTCTGGTGTCAACTGGATGAGTGAATTTCATGATTTTTGTTGTTGCTGTTGAGAAGTTGGGGTTTTGTATACTCAAAATAGCTACAGAAAGCACCAGCAATACCAGATGAGTATTTTCCTTAAAACACACAGATCTTCAAGTTGCCATTTTTGTACCAAACATCTTATTTCTATGTAAATTTAAATGTAAGAAGTGTTGCTTACGAGGTATGCAAAGGCATAATGTTTTCATTAAATATTACTCATTAGCTCTGTAATGACATGGAGAATTTTCCATGCAAAGGAGGTCAGCTGGGGTCTGAAACAGCCATAATTTTTTTTCTGCTGGTATCAGCTTGTTTTGCCTTCAATCTAATAAAATACATGGCACAAGTCTCCTTGAGGGCTTTTTTTTTTTGAAAAATTGTTTATTTTGTTATTAGGCTGACTCTAAAGGTAGAGACTGAACATCAAAAAGCAAAACAGTTCCAGCCAGAAATGGAGGTGCTGCCTCGTTGAGTCATCCAACATGACCTCTGTGTTTGGGTTACGTGTTCTCTCGGGGCGTAGAAGTTGCTGGTAAAGATTAGCCTTACCCCTGTACTGTTCAAATGCTCTTTTATCTCCTGCTAACGACAGCAGCAGACCTCCTAACACGATGGACTTGGATGATGGGTATTACCACAGGGAGCTGCTCATTAAGAAGGAGACACGGAAAAGCTCTTTCTAGGGTCACTAATGGGTTTCCTGGACCTCTTAAGTGTAGTGGTCTCTGGCCAGCTATGATGCAGCATGGAGGCTACCAGGACTACACACTCTCAGAAGCTCTTGGTGGAATTTAACCTAGATCCCCTTCTCCTGTGTAACTGCCAGCATCTTTGCCAAATCTCACCAAAATACCTGCATCCGTTTTACTGCCCAGAAGGAAGCAAACTGTCACAGAAGACCACAACACGGAGAACAATCATTCTCTCCAGAACTCCAAGTCCTCAGAAAATGATCAACTCTTTAGAAGCCTAGCAAGTTACATTTCTTTCCCATCTATCAATTAACAGAATAGTCAGAAAAAACAAGAGGCTAACTTCAGTTTAGACAATAGCTATTCCTGAAAAAGGTCCGTATAACTTTTACTGACTATGAAGTACGTTTTTTCTTGTTATTAGATTGCACTCTCTTGCTGCATTACCTGACTACTGACTGTATCATTTCACAATACCTACTTCCTCTATCCGGGGCTGTTACAGAGCACAAATGAGGATTCACAGCGATCAGCTCATACCCTCTGGGAGGGGGGGATTACATGGAAATAATCCCTTTAATGTGCGCCTTGCCTCTAAGCACTTCACACAGCAATAAATGGGTAAACTGACTTTGAGCAATTAAGAAATTAAATGAAACTAATAAAATGTGTGTTTTAATATTTCTTGATGGTTATTTTGTTTGGGGATTAGTGACTGAGGAAGGCGCTGTGATTTTGCACGGGGTCCAACTGCACCACTCTAGTAAATATTTCTGTTCCTTTTCTCAAACTCTATTTTTTTCCCCCTCTGATACTACAATGTGCCTTTTGGCACAGACCACGGGCTGTGATAAGATGACAACACAAGTGGGAGATAATATTGATTTTTTAAGGGTGAAACTGACTAAATATTCACGTAAGCCAGTCTTAAACTATAGACCAGCATCTCACAGCCTGATTTGTGGTGTCAGTACAGGCACCTTCTACTCAGAATTTTACCCTGAGTGGGATTCATCAATGGTGAAAACTGAGTCTTATGAGTCTCCTATGCATCCAGTGGCTTCAGAGAGTCCCCATCTGGATAGCTCAGGTCTAACAGCTACAGACTGGCACCGAGATACTGACATTGTCATAGTCTCCATATATACAACACGAGGGCTTCAAGACATTCATGCAAAATGGAATGAAATGGTAAGTTAATTTTGGGGTAAAACATTTTAAAAACCATGCATAAGAGGTGTCATCAAAATATTTCATTGAAAATGTGTTATTAAGAGTTATAGATGCGTGAGGGAATTTTGGCACAGCAGGTTAAGCTGCCATTATGATTGGTATCACGTATGCGAGTGCCAGTTCAAAGCCAGAGGGCTCTGCTTCCGACCGAGCTCCTTATAAATGTGCCTGGGAAGCAATGGAGGATGGCTCAAGTGAACAAATCCCAATCACCCACAAAGGATACTGGAGTATGGAATTCCTGGTCCCTCCTGGCTTTGCCCTGGCTGTTGCATCCATTTCGGGAGTAAATCAATGCCTTTCAAAGGAACGCATGTGTGAATAAAGTATTTAAAAAAAAACTATTCACGGACTTCATGTTTTTTTTTCTTTTTTGCACCAAAACAAACTTACTTTAAGACTATTTTTGAGGTAGGGGTTGGGGGGATTCTCCATCACTCACTAGTTGATGCCTGCAACAGTTGGGGCAGGCCTGGGGCTAAAGCTAAGAATTGAGAATAGAATGTAGGTGTCCCACATGGGTTATAGGGACTCAACTACTTAAGCCATTAATGTTTCCTCTGTGGGTCTGCATTAGCAGGAAACTGTGAGTCAGTAGCCTCAGCTGCGTATGGAACCCATGTATTTCTATACAAAACACGGGCATGTGTACTGCTAGGCCAAATGCATGCCTATCCCCACAACTTCTGAATTCCACGTTGATAAACATTTTGAAGCCCTCTTCTATATTTTGTAGTTAAAGCAAGAATGCATACTGCATAGCAAAAACTACCAGGTATCACAACTTAGCAAAGTAACCAGCAAAGCAACCTTCGACTATTTACCTTTGCTGGGTTGCTGTTTCCTATCGTAAAAGTGGCAGCCCCGCTGCTCTGTGGGATGTGGGGAGGGGATTCCCTTCCAACTGTATTCCATGTAGTTAGCGGGTCATAGGCTGAGGAACATCCTCCGAAGTCCTATCTCCTTCAGCATCACTTTTATGCGCATTCACCATCATTATGAGAGGAGGCTGGGGTAGGCTGCCTGCCAATTTGGGGGCTTGTGATGCTCTGCCTTCAGACTGTTGTGTTAAAGAAAGCATTTTAAAACAAAATAGATGTAGAAGTAGACAGAAGTCTACTTACTTGTGCACCTCAAGCCATCATCATCATCAGAGACACACCTTACAGCTAGCGCTTCCAACATTTCTCATTCCTTTCTCTTAATTATGTTTTATTAATAGGTGACAGCACAACAGTTCTGAGACACTAACATAGTTTTTGAAGTTAACCCAGCTCTTCAGTGGTAGAAGCAAGGCGGTAATGAAACTGTTAACTGTACCTTGACAATAGGATGCTAGACTTTCTGCCACTGTTTATACCTACAATATCATGACACATAGAAACAGCAGAACGATGGACAACTCCTGTTTTTGAAGAACTATACTACTGTAATAATACAGGGGAAATCAGTGTGCAGAGGGGCTTTAGAGGGAGGAGTGGGAATCTTTGAGCCTATGGAACTGTATCATAGAATAATTATTTTTAAAAAAAAAAAACAAAACCAAAGAAGACTGCCTAGATAAGACAGACTAGAACTCCCATTTCCTGCCACTAAATTCTGCATCTTCAAAAAGATTATAGAAATGTAAACTGGGAATTTCTAACTTTGGGAGCTGACACTACTTCATGCAAGCTTTCAAGGAAAAAAAAAAAAACCAGAGCTTTCATTCAGTGTTAGATCATTTCAAAAGCTCAGTTACTAACTCCTCCAAAACTTCTGGTTACTATGAATGAAGTCTAGTGCCCTATATTAAAAGCTCGGTCACACAATGTTTGTTGAATGACTAAAGGACTGGGTTTCCAGGCCCATGAAAATTTTGCTTTATCTGAACTAGACTGCACAGATCTGAACTGGTTCTTTTATGATACTGCTAAGACATTAGTATTACAACACAGAGTGTTATTATAGCATGATTCACTCCATGAAATGAGTTAACACTGTGATACCATAAGCCATTCATTCCCAGGAAGTCCGTCCCATACACATTAAGATCTACATCCTCAGAGATAGATTCCACCCTCTCCCCCGTAGCATTTCACTGAGCAGAGACAGGGCTGTGTACAATCCGCAAATGCACCAGTTTTAAGGAATGCTCGAAGACAACAGTGACCCTCTTCAGTAACACATTTTATTTCCAATCTATGGCAAAAAAAAAAAAAACTGTCTTTATTGGTTAGTCTCCAACTTGTACATCCCTGTATCCTCATCTGAATTCTAACAGTTTCATAATATCATTTCCTTATTATTTCCTCAAATCAGCAACAGTACAAATTCCTCTTGCTATTAATTATCAGCTTTATCTTCTTAATTATGATCTATATAACTGCAAGGTATGGATTTTTTTCCCCTACTCATGTGTTCTTGAGATGCAGATTTCTTTCTAAGGCCAACGCAAGGACTTCAGCAGCCCACAGTCCATTCAATCACATTACAGGGTGGTGAAGAAACCTTTCCATGTTCTGATTATTAAACACAAGCAACAGACCCAGGGGGGCTTTGCATTGCTTCTCTGGCACGACAAGGAGATAGAAGCTGAATCACTCAGACGGTATCAGGAGCTGTGCAGGGACCGTGCATGATAAGCAGGCATACTCAGAAGCAGTATTTTATTTGTACTTTCTTCTTCCTGGCTTTCCACACCCAGTGCTATCATAGATTCCTCCAGGCCAAACCACAGCCTGGTGCCATCCTGTGTAGTCTAACCACACAGCCTCCCTCAAATTTATTTTATGTTCTGTTAGCTTGC